ACCATGAGTGGCAGGTGGCTGAATTTTACGGAGACTTGCCTCGGTCTCCAACCCTCCTCCTTTCTCATCCTGGCTTGGGACCGGCCATGGCGGAGTTGCATAACGTACATATAGCGTAGAAATATATAACGTACATGTGTAGAGTTTATCATTGATCCGTTGTATAGGAACGCATTTGGCGGAACTTCATCTAGTCCTGAAGAAGCCACCTAAGGGAGACGCTTTATAACAATTGTTATGAAGCAGTTGAATTTCCGATCTGGGTTAGAAAAATTCTTCAGTGATAGTATTTGTTTTGAAAAGAGTTAAGCCAGGTATTTTTGCTGTTAGTTAAAAACATCAACTTGAGCCGTTTGCATATTAAAACGTCATTGTTTGCGACAAGCGCCGTATTCGAAGCTTTTCAGCGCTTTTGGTGTGAGACACCGGTTAGCGCAACGTAGAAGATTATAACCATCCAAAAAACGAAATATGTGTGTTTGAACATGCATTAAAATTTTTGAACAGCTGCTCGACTTATTGTATCCAAAAGAATTCGGATCTTTTAAATTCTTCCAATTTCAGCCTGTTGTACGGTTAAGGTGATTGTCGCTTGAATGCTCAGGTAAAATGAATGATCGAACTTACGTCAGTGCCCCACAGTATAGTAAGTAATATTATCTAGCCGTTTTATACACACCGTGGCTTTGTCATGGAATGCATCGCTGGTCTGCTGAACCGATTGTTATAGAATAAGTGTATTTTATGGATGGCGATACACTCAAACTAGATTTTCTCCCCGTTATATCAAGCCTAACGATGGTTCAATGGCGAGTTTCTGAACACAGCTTGAAGCTAGCCGTTGGACGCGTTGTTAGGTAACACGAAGCGAGGTATGTTCGTATGTTCATTTATTGTACTTTTCTGTTTTATGTGTTTCTTGCTTGTTTCTTTTGTGTCATATTTTTGCGGCTGATAGATTATGCACTGCATTAATTGAGGCTAGTCACAGTATGAATAGTGTTCTATAAATACGATAAATTCTCTTATCTGTATTTGTCAAAATTAGTGAAGAAGCATTCGGCTTTGAGTAATATTTATTTGTCTTTGCATACTCGTATATCTGCAGCATTTGTCAGTCTGGGGGTTAGGTTTTTATTTATTCGTTGGTTGAAATATTTCATTTTTGCGTTGATGGTGATAATGAGAAACGGTTTAATGATACACGACGCGAAAGTTAATATGGACAATCCAGTGATTGACCAATACCAATGTTTCAGCCCGTCTCTCATGGTGGTGGTTGGTAGTGTTTCGAGAATTGGCATTTTGACTTCCACTACATCAACCAAACGGACGATGGACGACAAATTAAATGCGCGAAAGTTTACCATCCACCTACCTTGAAAAAGGCCCGTAAAACACGAGCCGAGGCGTCTGTACTGGTCAGTCACCGGATTCACCATATTATCTTTTGCGCTATGTATTATTAAACCACGTTTTACGTCGTTTTTTCAGTATTTGTTGGCCGTTTCTGGTTGTTTACAAAGTAATGAAAAGGTCACGTAATTGCGACCGTCTAAGTTTCAGAAATGCAGAACCGAAATTGATTTGATGATGCAATTCGCCATCATTTGAAACTTCTTCACCGTTCGTAAAACTGTTTACTAGTATGAAAAGAAGAAAGTATATATAGGAAAGTACAGCCAAAGGCGGCTGATTCATGGTGAAAGTATTTCTTAGAGAACGTCTATGGAGTTCTTAAAATAAATGTCGCATTTCGCATAACTTCTGCCATAAAATTTAATTTGTTCTCCTCGACTTTGTTATATATTATATATTGTGTTTTTCCGACAGTTGTTGAAACCTTGTTTCTATCATTATTAACATATCGTGACAAACCCTTAGCGTTTTAAATCCATGATAATTTGACATCGGACTATTCTAGTTGCAACCAGGCAATTTCTGTGATCTGTTTCTTTTGGATCTACATGCTGGTTGAAGAAATAAACGTTTGACCCCGATTCAAGATTGCATTTTAGCAAGCCGTGGACCCATCATCTGCCGTGCCATATTCATCTCACATCATTTATTTCGCTAGAGTAACGTCGCGCTCATCACGACAATCGTTTCAAGAGCTGATACTCGTTATTTGCTACATTATAAATTTCCAAGGCCAGATTTCACGGAGTGTTATACTGCATCCTAATAGTTTTTCATCTTTATGTGATAGCATATGCGAAGTACTCGATCCCGAAACTTCATTCGTGATGGGTTACTCAACTAACAGGATGCAAGATGCACCTAGCAACAGGGTGATCGAGTATCATGAAGTCGTGGTATGCTTTACCTCCCTACAGTCATCTTGGGACAAAGAGAATTCAATTCGTCTAAAATTTGGTAAAAAATGAGTTGTGCACCGACTAACTTAGTTGTCACTCCTTAAAGTAATCGGAAGACGAGCTGATCATGGTTTTTAACGATGTTATAGAAACATTGCTTCGTTGTAGAAAAAAACTTACGCAACGAAGTTTTTTAAGCTATTCGATGTAAGCAGAAGGTCAAAAATATTTCGAAAAACGTTCAAATAACACACGAAATTCACTTTTTATACATCGCATCCTTATGAATTTTATACTTAAAAAATAAACAAATTTATTACTGACTCATGGAACGAAAGTTCGATCGAACTGTAGTTTGTAATGTGATGATGTTGACTTCCTTTGGTAAGTCACAAACGGGAAGAGCACGCATAAAATGTTCTTTAATTAGAGACATCTGACGTTTCGGACCAAACTCGGTCCGTCTTCAGAGTACTGATGTTGACAGTAAGTATATATGAATAAGGTATGCTCCATAGGCAAATCTGAGTGCTCTATAATGTGAGACGCAGACGAAATCTAAGATAGTGGCCCGTGCGTCAAAAGCCAACGCCATCTTGTTGAAATTAAGGGTTGCAGACGCAAGGCAGCAATCATAAACCATGCACCTAACGGTTTCATTGAGATTTTTAGGTAAAGAAGAGACCCAACCATATGAAAGCAGTCAGAGATGCGTCATTTCGGCAGTGTGATATTGTAAAATTGGGCTAGAGCATTTCATTCACTGAAGCCTCGAAGTGTGGTCGAAAGAGAGGGTTTTCTTCCTGCTCTAACTACTTGTCTTATCCCTTCAAAAGTTGATAAATGTATTTCCTGTCAAGGAGGCAGGGGACCACACGCACTATTTGCTCTGCTTTGTTACCGCGCATGCTCATGATCAATTGGTGGACTGCACCAGACGCGGCAATGTACTTGTTGTTGGCTGATTTCATGTACACATTTGACATGTCGTGCTAGAAGACCAGTTCGAGTTGAACGTTTACTAGGAAATAGCTACGTTTGATTGCTCGTTAGCTGATAATATGACAACCCATGCTTGTACGACGAAGGGTCAGTGAGTGGATAGCATGTCACAAAGCTGATTAAGCTAAGTGACTGCCTATTGTTGATGGAGTATTTTTTCTGTTGTTGATGCATTAGAGAGTTTCGTGTATCACAGTGTGCTGTATAGTGTATCATTTCTGTTGTATCATAAGCTGTCTGCCATTCTGCAAAGTAGCTGAAGATAATGTTTACGAGAAACAGGTTCCGTTGAATAGATAGATCAGTTGGGAATATCACGTACGGGAAGAAACCCGGCCATGTTTCTTTCCCATCACCAGCCAACGGCCAGTGACAAAATCTTTAACGCCACACTACGTAAGACACCCATTATCAAGGTTGTCTAAGCTAACTTACTATCATTGTTACTGTGTTTATTGAAGTTGAATTTTACGTTTACTATTTGCTGTTATCTAGAATCAGTCTTTGACAGATGCAAAGAGATTATTAGAAATCACGCTAGCGTACTCTGACTGTATCTTAAACTGATTGTTCATCTCGGAAAAGTCTGTTTCATTGTGTCTTTTAGTACAAAAAGATAGTCAAAGAAATTAAATGTTAGTACTTCCTTATTACCCTTGAACAAACTTTTCGTTTCACGGGTACTTTTCGATAGTAGATTCGCAAAGTCCAAGTTTTTGGGCCAAACTACCTTATCAAATTTATTCATACAGAAAATGTGTTCACAGTTGTTCGTTGTGGTCATCTAAGTTATGGTAAGCTTCACGGTCCATTGAGTAACGATGTTCGACATTCAGGAGTTGATTCCTCAGAATATTTCCAGCACATGTTCCAGTAAGAGCAGATTTCCTGCGCATTTGTTTCTTACCTCCTTTTTTTACGCTTTGTGATTGGTATACAAAGTTTTATAGCTCGGAAATCGTATTTCAAACCGCTTACAGTAAATATCATAATAATTATGATTTTCTAACTTGACATTTCGATGGTTCTATGCACAACGAAAGAGACGGAAGATAATCTTTAGTATAAATGAAACGTCGAAAAACGAAACAGAAGTGAAAGTTTCAGAAATCATTATAAATAATTGGAACATGGGTTTTTCTTGAACATGTTCTTTATCAGGTAGTTTACGTATGTTCATTCGATTGTTTTCAACTTTTGTTACGCAGGTTATAAAGAAATCACGTTTTAACCTCATTATTGTCAGATAGAGATATATGATTTTGCCCATATGTTTGAGATATGATATTCATTTGTTGTGGACGATTTGCATTGTATGCCTTTAGACAGTTTTCTTAATGTTTGTAGACGTATTGCCCGGAAGTAGGACTTGATGGTCGGTCCAGCTTTCGGCAACGATCGTCTTGCCGTCTCATAATTCGCTTTTCGTTGCTCATCTCTCCTTGCGTCGCTCATCTTCGTAGAGTCGCTCAGTTCGTCGTCTGGTGCTTTGCACCGAAGAACAATGAAGCTCAGCTTTGCCAGTCGCCTGTCGCACGCGTCCGGCAACAAGAGCTGTGTGGTTGCAGGTGACCAGTCACAGTTGTTCATCTGGGGCTTTCGGTCTAGCAGCCTGCGTATAGTCGCGTCGCTGGTCGAACTGCTTTTTTGCGGAACCTTGACTTTGGTCTTCTACTGGAAGCCGGAATGGCGTCTTTTGTTCTACAAGCGTGGTTGTGCCCTCGAACATGCCGATGCGGTACTTATTCGGTGTGTGACGAAATCAATTTTTTCTTGAAAGTTTAGATACTTTAAAGTATTCTCCTCAAAAGTT